GACTTCAGCCTGATGGCACCTGGTTAGTTCAACCTCTCTTTTGCAGCAATGTCTGCAGCCATTTTTGCAGAGTCTTCGGCTCAGTCCATCGGCATTACCATGAGATTTTCCTTCTCTGTATTCAATATCATAATTATATGGTCTATTTTTCCAATCTAATGTGCCAGTTGTCTTGCTGGGTTTTTAATGATCTTAACCAGCATAATGCGGCATGGTCTGTCCTGATAGTAAACCTGGCACCATAGAGGTAAGGATGGAAATATGTCAGACTCTTTACTATAGCAAGGAGCTCCCACCGTGTTACACAGTAGTTCCTCTCTGGTCTATTCAAAACCCTACTGAAGTAGGCCACCACATGTTCGTTTTCGCCCCCTTTCTGAGACAACACTCCTCTAATTCCGACATTACTAGCTTCACAATCCAGTATGTACGGCAGCGAGGGATCTGGAAGCTTTAAAAGTGGAATGGAGGCCAAATTTTCTTTCAATGTCTTGAAAGCATGCTGGCAAGAAACTGTCCATTCAAACTTCTGGCCTTTTTTAGTCAAATCATGTAGTGGAGCAGCTATAGTTGCAAGGTTCTTCACAAACTTTCGGTAATAGGTATAGTGCCCCATGAAACTTCTTAACTCTCCCACATTGTCTGGTGTTGGCCAATCACACACTGCTTTCACCTTGTCAGGATCAGTTTGCACACCATGCTTACTTACAATGTGACCTACGTAAAGCACCTCTTTCTGGAACAAGTGGCACTTCTTGGGATGGAGTTTGAGGTTTGCTGCTTTCAAACGTTTGAATACTTCCTCTAACCGGGACATTTCCTCATCAAAAGTTGTTGCAACTACAATGACATCTTCCAGGTATACTAGGGCTATCCTCCATTGTAGGCCTTCCAGTACTCTTTCCATCAGCCTCTCAAATGTTACTGGAGTATTGCTAAGCCCGAATAGCATCACGCGATATTGCCAGAGACCTTGACCATAACTAAATGCAGTCTTAGGTTTAGCTGCTTCAGCCATTTTTACTTGATGGAAACCTGACTTTAAGTCCAGAGTTGAAAACCACCTGGCTCCACTTGGGGCATCAAGAGTATCATCAATTCTTGGCAGTGGGTACGAGTCTTTTTCGGTTATACTGTTAAGAGCCCTGAAGCCCACACAGCAACATTGGGTCCCATCCTTCTTCTGGACTAACATGACGGGAGCTGACCAGGGACTATCTGATTTCTCAACTATCCCTTCCTTAATTAGACCATGCATGACCTTCTCTATCTCTTGTCGCTTTGCTGGAGCTATTCTCCTCGGAGGGATCTTTATTGGACAGTGATTGCCTGTGTTTATTCTGTGCTCTACAAGTTTTGTGCAGCCGAGGTCATGATCTCCTTTCGAAAAGACGTCTGCATAATTTGCCAAAAGTTCTTTTACCTGAAGAGCCTTTGATGATCCAAATGGACTATGCTCTTTTTATAGAGGTCAGTTAAATGTTCTGGAAGTGTATGTCCTTTCTTTACAGTTGTATTTTTTACCTTAACATTGACTGGCTCTACCTCCTGGCACACACCCGACAATGCCCCTTCCTTAAGTGTCTGCTCACATTTAGAGAAATTGGCAACTGTTATGGGTACTCCTTTAAGGCCTGCCACAAGTAACCTTCCAATCTTCACATTCGCTGGCCTGGATGTGTCTTTCACTGCTTCCACAAGCACCAGTCTTCCTTGGGATGTTCTTTTATTCCACTTCAAATTATCTTCTCTGACATAGGGAGTATTGTAGTTGTCTTAAGTGCTTTGACATGCAAATCAACAGATGCAGCAACACTTACTGGAATTTGGCCTTTGTTGTTCCGAATCGTCATTTTATCGAAGTTAACTACACACTTCCTAGGTAGTAAATAGTCCAATCCTAATATGTATTGGTCTTCAATGTCAGCCAACTATACTTTGTGTCTGTTCTTCATGCCCATGAGCTCAACAGTTACCCACACTGGTCCCCACAGCCTTGAATAATGTCCTGTCATGCCACAGAGCTTC